GTCAGCTCGCAGGCAAAATAATACTGACAGTATCAATTTTTGCACCAATGGACTTAAAAATCATTCCCTGTTCATTCTAACATCCCCAGTCAGAGTTAATAGACTGCCATCAATACCGTGAAGTTTCAGCAAATGCAATGTTTCTCATGTTCATCACGAACCTGGATAGCAATGGTATTATCACATAATCGCCCTGCGAATGGAGCCATACTCCATGCAAAGTACCAACGAAACAAACCTGTGGTTTAACTTGTACTTTAACATATTAAACGTCATATGAGCCAAAGAAAATTACTACTTTCACGTCTATGTTTAACTTCTGGTGGTCTCGTGTATACTGTTCCAGTTTTTCCGGACTTGGTTATATTTGGCAGTGTGATTCATGCGAGTAGTGAGTTGTGGTTTCACTTCAGTTTAGCTCGTTTCGATTCTTTTCTCACTGGATTTATTTTGTACATAGACCTTGCTCATATTACCCATTCTGCGGGTAGACAAAGTTCGCAGGAGTGCACCCATCCTTGGTTGGTTGCAGTCTTGGCCACATAAATGCACATTTCCCCCACGTACTTTTAAAAGGGGGCATATTTTCATCAGAGTTAGTGTTTCGATGACTCCGTGAGATTTTTTAGCCTCGCGAATCATTCCCGCTTTTGAACTGACGGCCAGCCATATGCCACCAGCCACTTTTAGGCGCAAACAAGAATATGCTGGAAAAAGAGATGTCGTTTAAATCAATGCAGCCAGGTAAGACAGTTCAGGCGCTTGGTGGCGCTGTTAAACGAAGAAACAGCCCATACAAAATCCGTGTAAACACTCAAACTAATTTCGGCATGCCGGGCAAAAAGTGAGCTCTCAAGCGATACGTGTATATAGTCATAGCAACTGTGACACAACTTAAAATACCTGAAGAGCATGAAAGACCATGTGACAGATACGGTGGTCCGAGAACTTCTAAACTATGAATGTAGCTTTCATGTAGTATTCCGCACAAAGAAACAGTCAGGAACCACACAGGTCTACACAAAGTTTATACAAAGGAAGACCAAACCAAACAAAGGTCTAAATATTTTTTCATCGTGCATGTTGCACAAAAAAATTCACATGCTGAACAGATTGAGAAAATAATGTGTTCAACCTGAATTAATCATAAAATATAATTTGCCAACTGTCAGATATCTGAATGGATTTTTTCTTTAGCGCTCCTCCTTCCCAAGTGCCAATGCACAGGGGTGTTTTAGCACTATGCATCAGCGCAATCAACAAAATGACGCACAATGTATAAAGGTCGTTCATCCATCCACCAACCAAAAACTTGAGTAGGTGACAAAGAGTCTTGAGGCGTGCATGCCATGTTTGCCAAACAATCTTGAGGCTTCTGCAGCTTCAGAAATTGAAAGAGTATTGAAAAAATGAAAGCAATGGTGGAAGAACCGAGTGTCAAATGCAGCACTTACTTCATGGTACCGTATTTAAGAAGGCTTTGCGGCATTCTTTTAATCTTGTTCAACGGACACTTTATCCTGTCAGCATCCCCATTCATTTACACTACTAATGCAAAGAAGAAGCCCGCCAAAAATAAAGCAAAGAAAAAACAAAGTGGAGAAGATCTCAAGGCACGTCCGACAGTGAAAACAAAAACGTCGCGTTGGAACAAACGGCTATTTCGACACCAAACAAAACGACCAATTAATCAACACATTTCGTTTCTGTAATTTTCCAAACCAATAGTGTTTGGCGGTGCGGAGTGCTTATCACCTCTCTCTCGGGCGAAAAGTGGTCGTCCTCTCACATCGAGGAAAAAAAAAAGAGAGAAAACCCTCAGCGGATAAATTGGCTTGCTCCTGCGAGGCTGGAGTTTGCGGAGGGCAATGGTTCGGTAAAATTCCGTCTCATTTATCTTGGTGATCGTGAGCTGGTTCCAATGCGGGCGCACAGAGCCGGGGTTTTTGCAAGCGCAAGCCCAGGCCGCGGGCGAGCGAGGCGCGACGCGGCCCGGACCGCAGGGCGCGCGGGGATGAGGTCGCTGGTGCGTGCATCGCTCCGTGATTGCGTTTCGGTGCCCTGACGCCCGGGCTATGCTTTCGCAGCTCCGCTGGACTGTGATTTATAGTTTTAAGATTGGCACAATACTAGATTCTTCCCTGAGCTCGTTGTTGACCGATTGCAGCACCGTCATACACGAAGGGGAAGGGTGCAGAAGAGAAGAGCGAAATGAACTCAATCTTGCAAGGGGACGCATGATCATGTATACATTATCCCTAGTCCCTTTCGTCAGATGATATCTTAAAAGGACATAACACTGAAACTAAATTTGCTATTGATTTGAAACCATTTGCATCAGTGATATTTTTCAGCGCTCGCCTCTCTAGTAATGGGCTAGTGAAATTTGTAAAAGTGGCGTCTGCAGGGCGCCACCACTGTCAAATTTTGACACTACTTGTGCAGGTCTCGCTGTCCAACTTTTTCCCGCCAATCATCAATGCAAATTGCGTACCGTCTGCGACTAACTCCAGTTATGGTTGAAACTAAATGTGCGGAGGATTTGAAAATTCAGTGTTGATTCAACAGGGGCCATTGATACGTTATAAATAAAAAACATTAATCGTGAGAACATCAACCACGACATACGGTCTTGTAAAAAAAACATTTATTTTAGAAGAAAAGCAGTTAGATCACATCCCAGCAAAATTACAGTGTCTCATTTTGTTTGTCCCATGTGCGCGCTGCTTCTTTTGTTTGTATGTATATGTACATGTATGTGTTTTGCAGCAGTGAAGATATTTTGCAGTACTGAAGACATTTCAGCCATGCTTTGGCCTCGAGTGTTAGAATAACAGTACTGGCCTACACAATGTATTACTAGTTGACATGTGGACCTACGTCGCAATGATACATTTACGTGGTTCTGAATTCTGTGGATGTATTAAAAACTCTGCCTCCTGAGTTGCAAGCTCAACAGTCTGACCCAGTCTTGACTTGCTCCTGCTTTGTTAGAGGCAACTGTGGCTTGCCATTCATTCAGTACTCAGGAGTTACCTGTGGTAGCTTTCTTGCATCGTACGGTTGGTTGTTTGGTTGGTTGTGGTGAGCTTGTGAATACAGCGCCCTCTGTTGATTATTCCATCAACTATTGTGGTCTTTTGTTTCCATCATAATCATAGAGTACTTGGCCTTGAATCAACAAACATTTTTTTAGCCGCAGTTCAATGGAGTTGAGCATGCCCATCTTCAGCAAGTAGCGATAACACAAACGGGGTATTTCATTTCGTGATGTTGAGAATACATACAAGTATATTGGTACTAGCACTGTATGCAAACCACGACCGTGAAACTTATGTCCATACCGTCATACACTTTCTGTTCAAAAAAGCCGCCCCCTCTCAAAAAAAGTCTAAAACGCAGCTGCTGTCTTAGCGCACCAATTAAGCATTTTGTCTTAAATGTCAGTTATAGCTTTTGCCAAGTATTTCAGTCACTTCTTGCCTTCTTTGCCGCACATACCAAGCCTTCATCTTCAAAATAAAGTGCTTCCAGAAACCTTTCAAACTAATCTATGTTCAAGTAATAACTGTATAGATATACATGTACATTCAAGTCGCTTCTGCAGGCGGGGTTTTTCTTTATTAGCTTATCGGACCCCTTAACTTTTTTTCCATTTCAGTTTGGCTTGATACAGCGGCGGTGTGTCACACAAATAGATTTGACAAACCATGTTAACCCAGAAATATTCGATTCCGTGCTCACCAATTTTGCTCGTCTTTCCCCCACAATTATTTCCCATGATTGAATAACCCAGTCCATACATATATACATTCGCCACAAAATTGTTTAAACAAGGCCTGCCCAATTAACTATAAAGCCCCATCCTCAACCCCCCCCCCGCCACAATGTTAAACCTGACGTTTGACCCGGTTTACCACCGCCGGGAGCTAATGGAAAGATCGGGGCTAGGCAAATATTAGCGGCCAGGAGATGTTTCCTAATCTTGATAATGAGGCTGACGATCTAGCAACGAGAAAATGAGGGTCAGGCCCGATCCTGCAATGCATAGCCCATCCTGAAAATTTGAAGATACACGGGAGAGGGAGGGAAAGAAAGAAAACATGGTCGTGCCGTGTCGTCATCACCTTTTCACGACGATCGTAAAAAAAATCCAGTGTGCTTTCCGATAGCCAGGACTCGTAAATAATGTTCGGGACAAATAAAAGCGAGTTCCCTTGATCACAATTCATGCCAGAAGTGATAAAGAATTCATGGTTAGCTTGCGGTCTTCGTTGGTACTCCCCTCTCCCATCCAGCACACACACCAATCATGGAGCAATTGTGCCAACCAACCGAAAAGAACAAAATTATCATCGTGTTCACGACAAGGACTATGTTGACCTGGTAAATATTTGAACTTCTTTGCCGGGCTGTTTGTAGCATTGGCCGCCGTGCAAACAGCCGCTCGCGGTCGATACAGGATTTGGGAATTCTTCGGCCGAGATGAAAGTTTGCCGCCTTCTTTCTCTTTTCCTCCGTCTCCTTTGAATCCAGCGATTTTTTCCCGCTCAACCGAGGCCTCCTGTTCCCAAGACGACATAGGAATCCCCACCACTAATCTCCAAGGATTGACTTTCCAAGTGTTCCCAAATTTATTTCTCTACCTTGGTCTCCTCTTTCATTAATATTGCTTCGTAACAAGTGTCACTAAAGAAACCGGCAATCGACACAAATTCAGCTAGGACTTACTCTGCCAGGCATCGTCATCATTTTATCTTGCATGATTTTACGTTTCGGTTTCAATTGGTTCATTATTGGTGCTTTAGGTTGCTCCACATCAACGCTCGTAATTCCGATGTCATGAAAAGTTTGTCTTGAAATGATTGAAGAAAGAACATTCTGATTTCGTGCACTACAAATGAATAAAAAAGCTCTATTTGTTTTCTTCCAGCCTCCTAAACATAATACATGGACGGGTAGATACACAAAGGCTTCATCATGTATTTTTGTACCAGTTAACATTTAACAAGAACGGTTAACAGTTCAAAACCTTCTCAAGTCTCTCTCACGCCTTTACATTATAGAGTCGAAAGGTAGGAATTGATATGCACGGCATTCTCCCAAACAAAACAGTGACCAGAAGTATAACGACCAAAAGTCAGCATATCCTTTGTATTGCGGTACCTTTTATTATTATGCTATTTTAAGAACATTTATGCATTGTAACGTTTTAATACTTTATTCAGTAGTATTTTGTCGATTATCGTGTTTCACTGTCAAATACGTATACATGTCATTGTGCACGTCATTCAATGTCTTCCGTCTCTTTCCTAGAACGTAGTTGGGAAATGACATTGTCACGAAAGTGCTTAACATTAAACTGAATCCTGTATAATGTTATTGTGTGCGCTTCATAATAATGCTCATGCATTTCCACTTTTACATTTTCCCTTGCGATTGTTTAAACCTATTTACATTAAATGTTTAAACATATTACCATCTTTAAGAGTAAAATGGTTTTACAATATACAGTACATGTACATGCATTAAACATTGTGTACATTTTTTTATTGATGGCAATAAATACGCAACTCTTATTAACAACTGTTCTAACATATACCGTGATTGGACTTTGAATACAATATAAACCATGACGCCAATCCAAAATTCCAAAATATGTGCATTGCTACAGAAAAAAAAATCGAGTAGAAATGTCGTGTACAAGCACGATCACCACCGCTATTGCATTGAACTGGTCATGAAGATGGACACCGTGTGCAGTGTCCGCACATACGATAACTCTTGAGAAGATGGTTTTGTTTTATTTCATTCTATTCCATTTATCAGCCCCATATTATCACCCGTCTCCTTAATTCTACAATTTACGTCTGTACTTTGAAAATCAGAAGTAATGATTCATATAACGGCGAGTATATGCGTGTATTCTTATACATGGACGTGGAACTTTGAGCAGTAGTATACATGTACTTGTGTAAGGCGTTGTTTACTTTTTTCAGTGAAATTTTCCTTTAATGCTAATTTTGTTAAGTACATGTGCTCTAATGACGGTGTTGTGCACATTCCTTTTCGACAACAGAGTTGCTATATAATTTAGAACTTTTTACAAACTTTTTACATTATATTGTACTTAGCAAAGTGAAAAATAGCAAGGTACAAAAATTCCTATTTTCCTTTTAGAATGGCTGTCGACGGAGGTCAAGTTTTCCTCATTGTGGTGATGCACTGCACAAGTAGGAACATGTACACAGGTTAGTTGATTATCCGACTATTTCTTCTCTTTAGGTTTGAATATTGAATCCGAAAATTGTGTGCGCTGAAAATCTAACTCGCCGAATGATGCACGTTTTGCCCTCGCGGATGAGAGTGTTATGCGATACTTAACAAATGGCTCCGTACTGCGAGAAAGGAGCCTGGTTCTCATTTCATATGATGCAGTGTGGGCGAAGGGTTGAGGCGACTGTGGCGATCGTGCGGGCCGTCTGTAGCTGGCAGGCTGCTGAAAGCTGCATTTGCGGCACTTCATCAGGCAGGGTGAGCCCAGGCGGAGTTCCGTGCAGGCGGGGTTGCGCCACGGTCATCTCTAGTACCTCTGCCGTGCTGCTGACAGGGGCCCGTAACTCCCCGAGCTCCCTCCGGCTGGCTGCCACGTCGTCCAGTATTTCCTCCTTGACTGCCGTCTCCTCTTTGATGTCATGTCCCTGGCCACCTCCGTCCGCCTCCACCGTACCGTCCGGGGTAGCGTCGAGTCTGGTCTGGTCAGAGGAGGTCTCGCCGCCCAGAGCCGCACGTTTCTTGTTCTGCTTGCGCTCCTTAGCCCGGCGGTTCTGAAACCAGATCTTCACCTGTCGATGAATTTAGTATGATTCGTAGATTAGATAAGAAAAAAAAACTCCAGTCAAAGAATCTCTTTTCTTATGTCGAGTTTCAGATTGTTGTCTAGTTAATTTTTGTATACAAATGAGCTCAATCTTTGTTTTCCCGGATTTTTTTAATGGGGGCGTTCAAGTGACAATTTGGGGCCTACTGGCTACACCACTGTAGCTATTGGTACAAACAGGAAATGAATCTCAGGAAAACTGTTAAAATGATAAAATAATAAACATTACTCAATACAAAAACACCTTTAATATGGATGGAGTGTGGTGTTGAGGCCAATAAGGGTGAGGTTTCTGCTTTCGTACAATTTCGTTCGGCCAGTGTTTGTAAATATAACCAAAATGCCTATACGTCAGGCCGCGGCACGCTGATTTTGATACGGCATAAGAGCGTGGATTTACAGTACATACACTGCACCGTGACTACTCGTGTATCCAAACCTGAAACATGGCACCGTATTCAGGGCGCTCGTGACCTTTTACTGGTTTGGGTGGCTGAGTCTAGAGGTCAAGATCCACCAGGATCAGCATTGTAGAAGTTGAGTCCATCACAAGTCCCGTGCGGGTCCGTCACAAGTCGTCCAGTGTGTGCGGTCTTAAGCCAAGTCGCAGAGTATTGGGATGGACTGCGACAGCATCCATTTGTCATAGCTCACCTCTTCACTTATGACTTGCCTGATGGTAGGACTTGTATCTGGACTTATGAACTAGGCACTTGAGAAAGAGCTTGTGATGGACTCGTCTACGACACTGCGTTTAAAATGCGTATTTTCAAACCAAAGAGATTTAGTCAAAAGACCTTTGATTTGAAAAGGCAGTAACGTTTGCATAAACACGTTAGCACTAAAAGTCACAAATCCTCCGATTTCAATATGATTTGACAACTACCTTGAAGTACAGGCTTTTCATTCGATGTAGAAGTTTTTGCTGACTGAAATGCTTTGGTGACTATTCGATTCGAGACATGTAACGCTAAACAGTTCCTTGCTAAATTATTAGGGAAAATGCCCTTCGACTGAATTGTCAGAATATATGTACAGCCCTTAAGATGCCCAGGCTTCTGTGGTGTCTTTGTCCGCCTACCTGTCTCTCTGACAGTCCCAGAGACACGGCAAGCTCCGCCTTGCGCCTGATGGTGATGTACCGACTGTAGATGAATTCTTTCTCCAGCTCCAGGCGCTGGTGATCCGAGTACACTACGCGATACTTGTCCTTCGTCCTAGTTTTTCCTGTCAGCCAAGATGAGAAAAGCATTGGGTTTTGTTAGGCGAGTGTTCCTGAAATTGTTTCCATCTGCAATTTTGACACTTCATAATGAAATCTTTTTCGGTGATCAATGTGCTGTCACAGTTCATGAATCGACATGGCCGGTGTTGAAAATCTTAATTGCTGAACTGAAAACTAATTTCCATCGTCCAAAAGGATAGATTCTAATAATAATGCTATGCGTTGATCATTAATTTTCTTGTAAATTACCGCCTGGGATGAAATATTACACCCAAAACTTTTAATCAGAGAACTGTGGTGAGAAACAATAGGCACGTTGCAAGGTCTCTCTCTCTCTTTAAATTCGACATCATCTTATAAAACATCAAATCCAACTTTGCCGTGTGAGGTAAAATTTGTTAACCGTCCGTTATGACCGAATGGGTTCCGGGGGCAATTTATTCCGCGCGATGTCGCGGCACTTCCCCGCCAAATCACCGCGGAGGTTCAAAATTTACGATCCCCGATTTCCGCTGTTGCCGATGACCGAAGGCACTCGCGACGGGCCCCGTATAGTGTTTGGGAGGGGGGGTAGCGTCGAGCTCTCCAGCCCTTGCAGGCGAGAGGACGGGTCGCCCCGTAATACGCAGCAGGGGCACGGTCCAGCTATGGAAACGAAACTCACAACTCAGTCATTTTCCACTGTCACGACGCTGGCGTAATCTGAACAACTCTGCTTGCGTTTCTTGCTGGAGTGAATACGGTTAAATGTACATGTACACGTTTATCAAGCCTATCTCTGATTTTGTTTATGATCAATTCATCCAAAAACAGGATCAGTTCATCCAAAAATGAGATTGGCCAAAGAAACCTGCGTTACCGTACTTGCCTTAAATGCCTATTGAGTTCGTTGTTTAGGTCCGCGGTTTGATATTCATATACATGTACTTCTTTGAGACTCTACATTTTCATTCAAACTAGACACTGAGTCGCAGTTTTTGCGTCTCAAAATACTTTGGTTGTTGGGAGGGCAGTAATGGATTATCGCTTCTACGGCACCAAGTAATTAATGTTCGTTCATCAGATTGTAAAATTGGAAAAATGGAGTGAAATTTGGCCCATTGTCATGGCAATGTCTTTGTCAAAACAAATCAATCATTTTGCAGCTGCATGAATGATATTGATAGATGAGAGGCAATTTTCTGGCCAGAAAATTGAGGAAACCTCCTTGTGGATAATGATAATAACCACACACCTTGAAAGCGCCGGCACAAACACCTCATAGATGATCGCAAAAAAAAATGCATTTCTGGGGATTTTTTTTTCCGTGTGAGTCGCCAATCATAAGGCCTTATAGCACACGGCAGTGAGAGCCACACTGCAAGAGGAGAAAGAAGAACGGAGCTCATGTAAACAGAATTAGCAGAGATGGTTTGAGTCCGAGTTGGTCCGGGCCTGAGTCAGTCTGGGCCAGAGTCGGTCTTAGCCCCATTTGGTCCGGATCTCAATTCGTGTGGGTCAGAATTGGTCTGTCGCAGGTGGTCTGGGCTCAAGTTATAATCGTCTGTGGGCCCGTGTTGGTTTGGGATGGTGTTGGTTTTGGTCTGCAATTGTTGTGCAAATGTTGGTTTGGGTCTCTGTTGGCATGGGCCTGAGTTGATTTTACGTTCCCTGCACCTCAACTGCAGCAGCAGCAAAACAGATCGGGCTGTTTTAATTCGAGGAGATCGCATGCATACCTATCGGGGAAACCCTTGAAGAATTTACAGTGGTCGTACACGTAAAATGCATGTTCATTTGTCACAAAAGAGGGCTTGTAGCTTGTAGTGCCTGTCACTTCTTGTTGTTAGTCGATAATTAACTAATGTTAGGAACGAATTAACCAGCGCCAATCATCTTCGTACAGAAATTGAATTTTCTCTGAGATTCATTTACTGAAAGGGTCATTCATTCGGGAGCATGCATAGGAATCAGATACAATTACATGTACTTCTTACACGTCCATTTCAATTCAGAATATAAGCGCCACACATGAAATTCGCTCAGCTTACGCGGAGTTCGATTTCGAGTCATACACAACTAAGTTTCGTTTGCTTGTATTGCAGTTCGCAATTATAGCATTCTGATTTCTTAGGCCTAAGGGAATTTGGAGGCGATACGGTATAACATCTTGATTTGGTCGTGCAAACCTGATGCAAACCATGCAGCATCATTTGTTCAAGTGTGATACTGATTGTAATAATGCTTGAGTTAACACATTTGCATATTCATTATAAGAAATATTCATCTTGATTCTCAAGGCCCCCAACCCGTAAGCCTATCGCATGTGCTTAATCCAATTTCCCAGTTTGACTATTTGTCTTTCAGGCGGATCAAAACTTAAAAAAGAAGAAAGAAAAAAGCGCGCAGAGAATGAGCGCATTCTATGTGCACCCATACCCGAGACTCCTGTGTTCTGTTTGTGAGGGGGGCCATCCCAACCGTTACATCTCGCCGCTGCTGGAAATGAGACAACTTAATCCGCCTTTTCTTTACGGAGGGTTTGAAAAGACCAACCAAAGACGCAACAAGTGCTTGACAAACAACCCACTCACAAGAAGTTAGGTGACTGCATTCAATGCATTGTCCCTTTATCCTCTAATGCCGTTGTAGCATGCTACTCAGAACCCGTTGTGGTTATTGATACACCTCTGAATCATTGACTGTAGGTTGCCGAGAAAACTCCGTTTTATTTAGAAAAAACCCAGCCAGCGTCCCCTCCCCCTCGCCCAGGTGGTCACCACGACCGCAGAATGGGTCGTTAAATTTGGCACAAGGTTTACCGAAATCTTGACGTTTTCTGATACAATTCAGCTGGAGGTGTGAGGTTAACATCAACAACAGATAAGGATATGGTGATCGGAAGTGCAGTCGGACGCGCTGCTGGTTTTGCAAAAGCATAAAGTTTTGACGAGCGCCAGAGCAGACCATAAGAAGAAGCCCACAACAAAACTAACCCTAAAGGTATCTCTCTGTGTGTCAATGTAAGTCTAAATTCCCGAAAAGTTCAGATAGTGATCATCAGAGAAACAAGGGGAAAACGAAGAATGAAAAATGTACAATTTACCTTCGAAAAGAACCTTACAAAAATTGCTGTAATCAGTTCCTCTTTTTCAGCAGAAACGATATTCATTCTCTGAAAGACGCTTGAATAATACGGACGGACACCAAGATTTGCACATCAAACACTCCCCACTCCGAAGTTGTAAAAGTGACAACCAATAATTAAAACACAACAAACCGAACACGAAAAGTAGATTTCCGGACTGAATGTGGTATTTGTTTCATCTGAGAAATGAGAAAAATAAATTAAATTCTGTGATTTTCGTCGAGTGCAAAGCTCATCCCAGTTTGTCACTTTCAATTCGACATCAATCAGGATGCCCCGTGCATCCGCTGCACTGGGTTTTATTCCCTTATGGCCTCTCTCGAGTTGCGCGCTGTAAGCAGTAGCATGCAATAAACCGCGAGGAAAATTACCATCACAGACAAAATTACAACCAAGACAAGTTGTAAAACGGCAGCCCAGTAGAAACAACGGAGACTCCGTGTTGTTATTTGGTTTGAATTGGACTTGTAAAAATAAAAAACTGAATGGTTAATTCGTTTACTGCTCTCTTCCTGGATAAACGGCAGTTTAGCTGAAGTGTTGAACCGAATCAATTTGTGTTTAGAATTCGGGAATAACGGTGATCGAATTGGGCCCTGATGGTTTGAAAAGCGGTTTAGTGATAATATTCTTGTCACTTCGAAGTTTACAACTGAGTGAAATTTACAACAGCACGACAGCAAACTGTCATTTCCTGGTTCCCTTAATTCATTTGGACGGGGAAAACAGCGTATATATTTTTCTTTGGATAAATGGCACACGTGAATTGTAAGTCAACTACCAAAAAATAATGTCCTTTGTGAACCATGCATAGGGCAAAAAACACAAGACTTGTCTGGCTCAGGAAAAAAGGCATTACTGACGAGAAGATGAGGTTCCGACGAACAAACCAAATATCTGGATGTTTTAATCCTACTCTTTCCGATCATATTCATTCCTTTATTTTAACTTAAGAATTGTTCACTATTTTACATCACAGTGAAAAGTTTGAATTAAAAATAGCTTAACGATCAATTGATGGTTTAAATCTGATAAGTTATCAACAGAGGATAATGCAGTTTATAAAATTACATTTAAATTGACGAAGTTATAAAATTGCCTTTCAAGAATATAGAATTATTTGCTCTGACCTGTTTGGGGGTTGACCCGGTATGAAGACGACCTCATCCAGTCGTGGTAAGGCGAGCGAATGGCTGGTCTGTGCAGGGCCTGCGAGACGCTGTTGACGGCCACGGACTGTCCGAACCCCTGGTAGTAGTCGAGATCATCGGTGTTGTACGGCGAACCGCTCACAGGGCCGGCCGGTGTCTGCCCAGGGAAGACATTGGCCCCGAACGGATCCTGCGAGGCGGACCCCCAGTCCACTCCGGGGAGTCCCGCGGTCGGAAAGCCCGTCGAGGCCCAAGAGGAGGAATTGGTAGTCGGGGCGGGCTGTTGCTGCTGCTGCTGGACGTCCAGGGCGCCGGAGCCCTGGTACGAAGCGCTGGCCGCCGGGTACTCGGACGGATAGTGGGTAGTGGGAGTTTGGCTGTAGTTGTAGGATGAGTAGGCCTGGGCCGCAGAGTTAGGGTGCCTGTACATGTTTCCTTCTTGCTGGTAGTGGTGGGGCTGGGGCATCAGGAACTCCAGAGTCATGACTGGCTGCGAGTTGGCAAACTAAAAAAAAATGATATCGACTAGAAGGTTTGTTAGCTCAGACTAGCTCGGGAGGCGTTCCTCAACCAGATCCCCGTGCTTCGCTCAAAGGCTAGATATCGGTTGATACTTGGCCACCACTTGTGAATTTAACGACGGGAAATAAAACTGGTGTTGCCCCTACGGCACGAAATGACAAGTGGTTGATATACGATTTATTGACAGAGTGATCTCAGACGGAGCGCGATATCGGCACACCTGCATGAAATTGAGAGGGAAGATTTCCCCAAGTTTTGAACTACCCGGTCCACGGAGTGCCGTGGAGTTTTTATAGCCAAGCTGAGGGGATAAAAGGGGGCATCATTTGATGTCAGAGTCAAGGATAATGCCTGGCATCTCACACCTTTCAACCCCCAAAACGGGGGCACCCCATCTTCCAACCAATTTGCATAAGAACGGATAAGCAGGGTGGATCAAAAGAACCCGCTGGGCGGCCGACCTGTGATGTGGTCAGTGCTACACCATTACATCCCCCATCAATGGGCTTTGAGCATAATTGGTAGAGATGGGGGCTCTGACTGTAGCTACAAGCCGCTGTGTGATCACCCCCAACTTGGTACCCTCGCAAAACGACCGCAGCAAAACAATCACATTACGTAAAAGCCCGTTCCCCCAACCCCCACTCTTCTGAAAAATCTCACGCCAAAGCTTATCAAACTGCAAACGAATTCGCATTTTTCTGACTCCAAAGACAAAGTTTGGGAACTTTGTTGGCGGCGACGGGTACCCCAAAATTCCGATCGTGAGTTTTGACTTCAGCGGTCGCGGCCATTAACAGGAAATCGCAGGGATGAAAAATAAAAGCACAGAAAAAGAGCTTTGAGGAAAAAGTACCAGAGAAGAATTTTATGACTTGTCAAGATGGGCTTGAGCAACGGAGTAATGTTTGCGTTGCCACACGGCGGGCTTGGTTGAAGAGGTCTCGCTGTGTTTTGACGGCCCTAAAATAGACCCATGTCACACACATGCAAAGCGTTCACGCGAGTGTACAGAAACGATTCTTATCTGGGGGATTTTTTTCCCATTTTACGAGCGATTGTTTTGTTGACGGGGAGCTGAAATGAAAGCCGAACAAGTCTCCGAACCGTCTGTTTCTAGCGGGTCATTCGGTTAAAGTATAGAGCAAGGGATGAAACCTTTCAAAGACTAGGGATCCAGTCAGTTTCAAGACTGAATCGTCTGGCGTATTGAAGTACGCTAACCCTGACCAGAGTTTGCCTTTAAGCAGTGGTGGACCAAAATATTTGATTTTACTCCCACTCGAAGTCCACCTTGACCACACCATCGTTTGCCCATGCTTACCTGAGAAGACACAAAAACTCAAGAATAATACCTCCTTGGTGCTAGGCTAACGCAAAGTTCACAGCTTATCCAGAATGAGCGTTCTTAAAGCAAACGTTTTCAGAAGGGTCAATCCAAACATTCAGTTCTTTACATGACATTGTCTTTAATTGTGATTCAAAGACCTCCCAAATAAAATCATTTTGATAAAATAAAAAAAATGATGTATAAAATAAAATTATTTTGCTCTTTTCTTTTGCCAGTTGCCATTCAAGTCCTGAAAAAAAATGTATGCAGATGTAACTTTGACAAGACAACAGTGATGCCGTCCAGCACAAAACGTGCCTGAGTTTTTCCTTGTAGACTTGGTTCATGTTGGCTATTGGAAAACTCAATACATGCATTTGACAATGAGCTAAACGTTGAAAGTCTTTACAGAAATATTGTAAGAAAAGCCCTTAAATGTCTAGTGCATGAAGTCACAACGGCGCCTTTGGACGCTATAGTAGATAGCCGGGACATTGTATAAATTGGAGGGTTTTTATTCAGTTTCAATCTTAAAAAATGGAGTAATAATAGCATTCGTTTAATTTCATAGAGTACTCAGAAATTATGCACTGAAATGTGTTGGTGTGAAACGTATAGACTGTTTAAAAGTTGTCACAACAGAACATGAATGACTTTGAAAATGGGCTTATAAAAGCCGAGTACGCGCGATTTTGACACTACCCCACCTACGTTCGGAGTTAAAATGGACCTATGTATTATGATCGGAAGTGATGTCACTTGCAAAGATTTCTCCCCGATTTAGTAGTTATTGTTTCTCACCTAACGACGATGACGTATTCGATTCAGAGACCACAAAGTGTGCTTGCCTCTGACCACCAAATTAAGACAATGTTACTTCTGTGGGAATGATTCATTTCTACACATTCTTGCGTCGTGTAGTTTGATTTGTATGTACATAGTTGAATGTAACTGACTTGACTTATTGGATGTAACAGAACAAGTTTGTTGAAACAGAGTTGTTCTTTCCCGGTTGAAAATGCGCCTCTGAAAGAAGTCGATATTCTCTTTGCTAAAAGCGTGTCCCAACTTGCTCGATAAGTGACACTTCATCATCGGTCGATTTTTGGAGTGAAAATTGATGAGTTGGAAATGGTCACATCGCTATACGTTTTACTATCAGGACACAGAGCTGATCTGATCAGGCATACCGAACGGAAGCTTCCAAAAAGTGTGTTCTCCATGTGTGTGTCCCCCCCGCAGGCACGGGCAGTGGTGGCCGACAACTGGATCTTGATGAATACTTAGAAAATCTCTCAATGAGCACCACTCAGAACGGAACTAGGGGGTTATTCATTCCAGCTTTATGGTTATGCAGTGCCATCTCAAAGCTAGATAACTTCCCAATAGAAGTCATGTGTTTTGGCAGCCTATTCCAATCTCTTGCCATCTTAGGAAAAAATGAATGAAGATGGGATTGTGACACAGACTGTGGGATTTGTGGGCTAATCAAATTGGACGTGAATAGCGCCATCTCTTGTTTACGTACTTCCCACGTGTGGAGCAATTCCCCGGATGTGCTTGAAATAATATTGCGATCTGTGTGTCAAATGGGTGGGAGAAGTGCGTTCGTTTCAATCCCTGGGCGTGCCCTTTCAGTATTTTCATAGAAAGATCCCAACACGACGCTTTTAGCGTCGATCTGCGCACTTTCGCGTTTGGAAACGAGGCTGTATGTGTCAGTGTCAATTCTTAATACGATCAGACGATTGAAAGTAAGGAGTCAAGACACAAATACATAAAAGTATGTTAAATTCAGACTTTTCAGGCTGCAAATGTTTGTGGAAGAGTCTTTCAGGATGACTCGACACGTAAAATCAAGAGAAAAAAATAACGACAATTTACCGCGAACTAGCAACGTACCTGCGATGGTCGTGTATCTTGTGCAGTGGGCGTGGTTAAAACTGAAGTGGTGTCACATTTAGAACGGGGATACTGAATGCACTGTGTCGACTCCGCGGGCGCGCACAATGAAGTTCAACACAGAGAGCCTCGGTTTCGATGCGGATTTGCGCAGACGGCGCTAATGCGAAATCCCGCTATTGCTAGCTCTCGGACGGATGGCCAGACCACAGTCATTTGCAAAGGTTTAAGACCACCTGGAATTTTATTGGTATTTCTCATTCTGTCACTGGGTCTGCATTACGGTAGGCCTACATTATCCCATTGAAGGATTACATAACATGTTTTCACAGTGGTGCATAACATCAGTGTAGTGCTATTAATCAATTTGAATTATTATTACTATTTTTTGCAAAGGAAGGTCTTGTATGACATTTTGTCTGTAAGGCAGCATGGGTAAAAAAAAAAGCAAGTCTAAGTAATCAGAATTCAAAAGTAATCAGAATTCAAGAAGGGCACACTCATCATCAGCGGCAGCAGTCACTCGCGGACGAGTATGACCTGTTCCTCCTAACGTCGGTGGTGTGTCCCGATGATTGGCTGAGTTCGGGCGGCTTGTCTCGTAGTTCAGGCACAAACAGCTCGATTTGTTCGTTCGAGGATCGGCCGCTCGAACGCCGGGAACGTACAACCGGTCATCGTTCGCAGTTAGTGGCAAGCAACATGCACCGGCGGAGTACGTGTCCATTTTAATGTTTGGATAACTGTGATAAATTCTTTCCTATTCAAAATGGAAAATTTTACGGGAAGTTATTAATGTTTATTTTGCAAACTTTCCATTGCCTCTGGGTCTGTACGCCATCTCACTAGTTTTGCAGCTGTTCAAAAATCATATCTCACGAATTTTCCCGCGCATTCCTGTGCAACCCCAAGAGGAGGTGGTGAGCGATCCTGTTCCGACAACAGTGTTCTTGAGTCGTGTTTAGCTTTTTTTCCCCCACTGGCTGTGCACAAAAGTATAGGAGATTTTCACAGTTCAGCTTTTTTATGCCCTTTTCAGCTATTTTTGGCTAGTTTTGTAATCGGTAAATCTCGCCCCTGAAACATATCATAATTCCCGTTTAGGCGTAGGAATTTGACCGTTCGTCTGTCTGGTCTTGCTTCTAGGTTCACGAAACGGCGTGCCTGGATCTGGTACCTTGTCTCTCTCTAACTTCTTTAAAGTCTCCTGCAAGAATAACGTTTAAGCCCAATCAATGCCATGCAAAGAAATTCCATGAATGAAATTGTATTGACTGTATCGTATCATCGATTCGCACAGGAACCAGTTGGGAGTCCTACCCCTTTTTGCTTTGAAAGCTGAAGGTCAACGATGTCGCACAAGGCCATCATCTTCTGTCCAAGGTTGACGAAAAGGGGATTAAACTGGAGAGAAGATCACAAGAGGAAGAAGGGTCAAACCATGGTGAGTTTCATTTTGAAAATTTCCTTCAAAGTAGAAATAAACCACTGAACTTCCGAGCTAAAAAATACAGTGTAGGGTCGAGGCAGGCAGGTTTCTCTTGCAGTTTTCCGCTATGCCAACATTTCGCAAGTCTACAGTGCTGCGCAGCAAATTGACATAATCGGTAAAATAGTACGCGAGACTTCTTGCCTGCAACACCAAATTTCTTTCTTGCAAAGAAATAAGCGCAGGTCATTTGTGAGCCCATCGCCGCCATGAACTTGGCCCGGTAGTTCTTTTGTATATGACTTGCGCTCTGAGCCTACCAATCATCAGCAGCCGCTTGACACTTTTTGGACCCTTACTCTGAGGTTTTAAGAACAAATTGATGTTTCCGTATATAGTCCTACAAACTTTTTGCAAATTATTGTGATTGGAAATTCAATTCAAGATTGTTGCAGCAATGCAACTTTTCATGTATAACTTGCAAGACTGCAGTGCCACTCAAGTCATTAACTCAGTGGAGTTAGATTCTCAGTTACCTGATGTGTAAGATCGAAAGCCTCTTCGGGCCAAATGTTATAAGCATGATCAAATCCTTGCGGTATCTGACGATTGGGAAAGTTTGGAAGGGAGAACGTCAAAGGCTGTGTCCAAAACGTATCGACTGCGGCTTCGGCTAACACGTGCGTCTATATAGGAAATGGCTGTTTAGCCGCTATCTGGTGACTTTCATGGCCTCGTTGTATTGCCGGCCGTATTAGGCAAGTCTCTCGACCAAAAAAAAAAAACCAATAAAAAAACACGCCTACTGCAAAAGCAGTCCCCAGAATGTTTGGCTTGAGACTGTGAACGGTTCCCAAGCCAAACGTAAGGTATCATTTCTGAATTGCCTAATCATGACCAGTTTCTGTAATGAATGACATTAACACCAAGAAACATACTTGTATTGTACTGTATTCTCGGGCGAGACCTTTAACTACGGCTGCCTTTCCTCTACGGCAACGCAAGTTGGTACTTAAAAAATGATGGTAGAGAGCAGACAGTGCTGATCTTACGCAACTCAAAAAAAAAATAATAATAATCTGGTGCCCTGGAGACTAGTGGGTCACAATAATGTAAAGCTCTTTCAGACCCCTTGCATACAGCGCTGTACGAGTGCTATAATCTAACTTGGCCATCAGTCTGATGCGACTAACGATGGGTCCTTGAATAAAAGCCAAAATTCGCTCACTCGTTGAAGAGAAAACCTTCCTCATCTGTCTGTATATCTGATGAACTAAAACCTAAACAAATGGACTCCAGTCTTGCTCTGGCATGCACCAGCCGCTAGCTTTGAATGGATTTAACCATCCCCTATGATCTGAGGGCGCACTATTGTAGGCAGCGGTTATCCATGACTCGAAATAAGAACTTGTCCCAATGACTTGGCAGTCGGCTTGAAATTACACAGAAATCTGTTGTAGTGGCTGCAGCCAGTTGTCATACAGAGTCGTGTGTAAATTATAGCCATGGCCAAGTGATTGGGACGCAGCCTATTAAAGCTGTACCCTCAATAACTTATTCGTTTCCAGTATTTTGAACTTGGTCTGCACTGATGGGCCACCGACTCACCCTCGGATTTGGACTGTTATTGGAAAGGAACGAAAACCAGCAGAAGCTCCGGGTAGCGGTGCTACACAAACACTTGCTGTGATTAAACGGAAACGCAGTGAACTGTGGTCCTCTGAAGTAAACTCTGTGTGTCATTGTTTTTGTGCCAAAAGGGGAAATTCTCGATCTCTTCCCTCCGCAGATTTTTCTAATCACATGGTTAAGAAAACTTTTTCAAGGGGTGGCTTTTCGGGAAGTAAATGTTTCCGCAGGATGTAAAAATACTTTGCCCTCTTGATTTAAGTCCAGGGACAGCAGAGGGAATTTCCCCGCTCAAAGTCACTTTAGATAAACTTCCAAGACCTTGAAATGCAGGAAAACGTTGTAAATGAAGTCTTTGCAACAAGACTTCTTCTATACTCATCTAATCAAAGGTGTCCACAAGGTGCTCAGATTTTTTTAAAAAACATTTGCCGTAGAAATTCGTACCGACAAAAAATCCCATTATAATAAAAGTAAAATTGCCGGGTTTTTGCACCTTCGTTTAAGGCACTTTATGGTATATCGCAGTGAACATACAAAGCTTTCCTTTATTGACTTTGAAGCCGTGATGTTTCGACAAATCCTTGTATATACGTTGCGCTTAATCATATGTTGAATGGCAGACATCTTTCTTTTCCACCACGTTCCCTTTTATCAGTTAATATAAGTATTACGATTGCCAACGGGTCTACAGGGAACAAGACAAACATGGCAGCATCATGATAAAGGTCTGTACCAAATGCAAGTGTTCGACAGTGACGTAACCGGGGCGACAATTCAGGAGGCGTGGGGGGAGCTAAATAGCAGGTGAACTGTATCATTATGGGAAATGTGCTCAATTCAAGATTTCAAGTGTGGGGATCAGAGGTCACGAGCATCCGTGTGGGGGGGGGAGGCTTGCGCCGGCGAGGCTTGACAATCCGAACTATATAATTTCGGAGGTTGTACAAGTTTTGACCGAGGAATGCTAAAGTGACCCTTTTTCAGTAAAACACGCCCCAACCTCGTTTTCGTTGGCTGATCCCAGTGGTTGTGACATACTCGCGTTTTTTTTAAATGATGGAAAAAAGGAGTTTCGTACTGCCAGAGGCTGCGTCTTGATGAAGCCAGAGCCACTTCTGACCCAACTTCTGACTACCCCTTTCTCCGACGGCATGCTCGTTGAAACTCACCCCAATGGATTGATTAACGCCTCCCCGCAGCAGCAGGGAAGAAAGGTCAGTGTTAGTGACAGTGGTGGCGTCGAAAATAAGCGCTGATGGGGAGGGGACGGGGTTGTGGACCCAATATTATTGTTCTCCAAATACATGCACTGGGCATTCGCTAATTTGTGCATTAAGTTTTAGATTATAAACCCCAGTGGTGTTGAAATTACCTCGTCCAGTGTTGAAATAGGCCTAAGCCCGTCTTTGTTTTAAGTTTCATAGTTTGGTAGCGTTAGATTTTGAAACGACGAATGACCCTTTCGAGCAGTTTTACCGGCTGGATATTGTTGTGGTTAAAGGCAAGTATATGAAGATTATACAAAAATGGTCAATTTGAATTTGTCTGTCTGTCCACTTCCTGCCAATATCCTTTTTGGCACGATGGTTAAACACTTTACATACGGACGAGGAAGAGGATGTGCAGCTTTGTAGCAGTCTCGTGTGATGTTGGCATAACATTTTTTTTCTGCCCACGCAATTTGAGGAAATACCTTACAGATTTTGGGGCTCTCGCCAAGTCTGAGTCCTGACGGCGGCTTACAAGGTTGCCATATTTCACGAACATTTTCCTTTAACATAGCAACAACCAACCAATGGGACATTTTCTCAAGCAGTGTCAGTTTTAGACGCCGCTTTTCTTATTATTAATTTGAAAACTGAAATAATGCTATATCGTTCTGAATTAAACGTGCAATTTCTACATAGAACCAGTGCTCTGTATAAGTGATACTAGTGGGTAGTGTATGAATTTCGAAAGCGGGTTAACTCTTTTGAACAATTTTACCGACTGAGCAATATCACATGTTGTGGCACATTAGATCTTCGGTTCCACGAACGGGTGTACATCCCAGGGTGGGGTGGGCCCCCCCCATTTTTTAGGTGGGTAGATTGGCTGCTAAATCACCCCCCCACACACACACACACCCAAGTGTGTATTTGCCTGCAACTGGGGACCCCCTATTGTTCCTCTTTTGTTTGTACTTTAACTTTTTCAGAAGACCACCCATATGTTTTGTACACAGTTGTCAATTGGGGACCCTCTGTCAATCGGGGACCTTATTGTCGTCTATTGTTCAGGGTCCCCAATTGAATGCAGAAACAAACTCACTTATACACCCACACTTACACACTTTTTGTGGTGAGCAAAACAATAAAGCGGATTGCGAACTTTTTTTGGACTTCCCGCAACTACTAAAATGTCATCAAGATCAGTCGAGAAAAAAAAATGCCATAAATATGCTCCTAGCCCAAAAGGGAGATGTAAAGTCGTGTCTGTTTCCTCCAATGTTTTGATTTGACGTCACAGTTTTGCTAAGTATGTAGATCATGGAAACTATAATTTTCACCCAAAGTTAGGTGGGTTTCATAGCCCAGGGAATCGTTATGTTTAAAAGTGTTTAAAGAGCAATAAACTTGAAACCCTGACCGTGCCTGAAAAGTTAAAGTGAAGTGTGAGCGCGCACTCGCATCAACGTAATCATACATATCATAATGTGATCGTTACAGGAAAAAGGCTTGGCTCTGACTGGATTTCTTAGTCCTCTGAACTGACGTTTTACGTCCTTACCCTATACATGTATACGGTTTTGCAAATTCAAACCGAGCGAAGTGTTACCGTTGGTCCTTATTTTGGAGTAAATATAGAGTTGGTAGTCATTTGTCAGTATATAGAAATTATGAATTCTCGTGGGCTGCATGACTTCAGTTCGGATTTTTAACACACGACAAAGAGGTAAATGTACCCTTCATGTAACTTTTTTTTTCTCTTTTTTCATAATTGGTTTTTACAAACATCATGATGATTTTTACATTTACTGCAAGAGTAATTACCAGAGGTTTATCATAATTTATATCAGAGGAACTACATGTACGCATTTATTTTTGGAAACAATTTGTCTCTAATTATTACTATATTTTAGTCATTTTCCTCTTCGTCAGTTAGCTGGAACAGTCCGTCAAATTCAATGCAATGTTTAGGCGTAACCCTACTCAAGGCTTTGTTGACTTCTTTGCCTTTGTCAAGTTTTTCTTGGGGATCGTCCACAATGTCTCGGTGAGTTTGTCCTTAAAATGTAGGTAACTGGCAGAAAACGACTTATAGTTGTCGAAAAAGTCTTGCTTGTCTACCCAGAGGGTCTTCCTGTTTGCCTTTTGACTGGCTTGATCTTTAATCATGTCCTC